ACAGAGGATTTAATCCGGAAAACGGGGTTCATCCCAAAATCGCCCTTTGTCGGCAGGATCATGGGCAACGAAGGGGACGACTCTGATCGGGCTTTTTCAATGTAATGCACTGCCGATCTCTTAGGCTCCAACTCTCGCAATTCTAGTTCAAAGTATCTACAGAGCACCAGTTGAAGAAGACTGATTTATTATTTATTCCTATTTAATATATTTTTTTATATGTACAAAAATATTTCAGAGCCGTTTAGAAAATAGCATTCTTCTTCTTGTTGTGCCATACTGAATAGAATAGAATAGAATAGAATAGAATAGAAAATAAATAGAATAAGAATAGAATAGAACAGAACAGAATAGAATAGAATAGAAAATAAATAGAACAGAACAGAATAGAATAGAAAATGAATAGAGTAGAATAGAAAATGAATAGAGTAGAGTAGAGTAGAGTAGAGTAAAATAGAATAGAATAGAATAGAATAGAATAGAATAGAATAGAATAGAATAGAATTCTTTATTGGCCAAGTGTGATTGGACACACAAAAAATTTGTCTGTGGTGCCTATGCTTTCAGTGTACATAAAAAGACAAGATATATATTCATCAAGAATCATAAGGTACAACACTTAATGATAGTCATAGGGTACAAATAAGCAATTGAATCATATTAGAAAACAATCAATATAAATCCTAAGGATAGGAAAACAGGAATCCTTGGAGATGCAGTCATTGGTATAGAGAGAAAAAAAAATAATGGAGAGAGCACACAGCCTTGGTGGGCTCCTTTGCTAATTGAGAGGGTATTCAGTGTGATTTTACCTAGCTTCACCTGCTCCTTCCTACAAGCTGTCAACCACAGATAGTTGCATCAGTTTAAAGAGAAGGATTTGTGGAATGATGTTATTGAATGCGGAGCTGAAGATGAGTAAAGAATGACATAGATTGTATTATGCATTCATTACGACAGAATGTATGATAATCCAAATGTTTATTCTGTATAAATATAGCTTGACTACTTGCTGAATACAACTATAAGAGTATATAATGTGGGAAATGTGCTAAGAAATGGAATGCTTAGGAGTGGTGTTGTGAATAAGACAACATTACCTTGGTTGCTTATTATACTTATGGATCAATATATATATATATATAAGGAATGCTTACGGTAATTTGAGAGGTGTGTCAGTTGGGGATATAAATGTATATGTTTTTGTGTATGCTGATAAATGTATACATTTGTTTTATTGATCATGTGACCATGGGAATGCTACAATAGTCATAAGCATGAAAAACAATCGTAAGTCATTTTTTTCAGTGCTGTTGTAACTTCAAACATTCATTAAACGGATTTTTTAAGTTAAAGATTATCTGCATAAGAGAGTAGGATACATTGTGCCTTCAAGTCAGTTTTCACTCTTGACAAGTGCCATGGCAGATTTTTTTGACAGCATTTTTAAAGTGGTTTGCCAGGATTGAGAGAGAAAGTGACTGGCCCATGTTACTAGCACTAGACTCAAGAGTAACCTAGTTTCTAGTCTACTGCCTTAACTACATCATAAAAATAAATTGAATGCTATGCAAATTGGGTATTTAAGAGGGAATTTAATAAGAAGAGATTCGGTTGAGATTGAACGAATGTGGATTAATTATAGGAGTGTGTGACCAGTACAAAAGTATCTTAAGATAGTTTGGTGATATAAAATAAAGAGCAAACAAGCTAAAAGGAAGGGAAGAGCAAGAAAACATTGGTTGGATAAGCTTGATGAGATTCTGAAAAAGATAAAGGTACAGTAGTTCAAAAACCAGAAAGACATCTATGAAGCAAAAATGGATTGTGAAGATAGAAAGATAAGAGGGAAATATAGTGTTGTTATAAGCTAGTTTTAGATATGTTTCCTTTCTCTTAGGACATTAATTTCTTTAATATACTATTTCTTATACCTTTTTATTTGTTCTGCATGATGTCACTTACCTTGCAATTTTTTGATGTGTATATACCCGTATTTTTCGGACATACCTAGCTGTTGGGGAGGAAAACAAGAAAAAAAATCTGCCTCTGCCTCCCAGCATCTATTCGGTATTCATCTGGCCCATTTGCCGCATTTACTGTGGCCCATTCCCAGCCAACCATTCACCGCTGCAGCCCGTTTGCCGCTGCCACCCATTCACTGCCGCCCATTCACTGCTGCAGCCTGTTTACCACAGCTTATCAGTGCCACACCAAGCCCCCTCCTCCCCACCGCAGTATTCGCTGTATAAGACGCACAGACATTTCCACCCACTTTTTTTGGGGGGGAGTGTGTCTTATACTCCGAAAAATACGGTATGTAGGATTTTTTTCTTCCTTGTATTCTCCCACAAGTGCAGGATCTACTTTTTTTCCAGATCAACAAAGTGTTGATTCATTGGTTGCAACAGTAATTGATTGACTGGCTTGTCACCTGAGCCTGACACATGAATAAATAATGAAGATGTTTGATGTAGTTTTGGAAATTGAATCATGTGTTTTCTGCAGTTATGTATATATATTTATCTCCCAAACATCAGGCTACTAAATCTGACTTTATTTTCACAAGCCAAAGCAAATTAAAGTAACTTCCAAATCCTGGCTGGGGTTTATAGAAACTGAAGGATTGCACATCTGCAAGGCATTGGGTGTGGAGGTCTGATCTGAGCAATCAAAATGATGTGCTGTACATCAATACCTCTGTCAAGTATCTATTTTTTCAGATGTTTTTTTAAAAAGCACCAAAATTAGTTAAATTGTCAAATGGACCAACCAATTGATTCATACAAGGCCATTTACGTTGTTCAAAAGGAATGGCATTAACAATTCCTTGAATGCATTCAGACTAGGTACATTATTTCTACTCCAGGTTAAATGTCTATAGAGATTCTCAATCATTTAGATCAAGGGTATCAAACTTGCAGCCCGCGGGCTGGATGCATCACAGGCAGGCCATGCCAGTGGTGAAATCCAAATTTTTTTACTACTAGTTCTGTGGGCGTGGCTTGAGGGCGTGGTGTGGCTTGGTGGGCGTGGCTTGGTGGGCGTGGGAGGGGAAGGATACTGCAAAATCACCATTCCCACTCCAGGGAAAGGATACTGCAAAATCACCATTCCCTCCCCACTCCTGGGGGAAAGATATTGCAAAATCTCCATTCCCATCCCACTCTGGGGGCAGCCAGAGGTGGTATTTGCTGGTTCTCCGAACTGCTCAAAATTTCCACTACGGTTCTCCAGAACCTGTTAGAACGTGCTGGATTTCACCCCTGGGCCACGCTCACCCCAGCTTCACAAAGGGGAAAAACATTGTGATACGTTATGTGATGGCAACGTGACGCCGCAAGTTTGACACCCGTAATCCAGGCCATAGTTGTCCCAAAGGTACTTTTCCAAAAAGCAACTGGATTTCCTTGGTTTTTTTCCTTCAAGGAAGCTTCTTCAACTTCTTGGCTGAGAAGCAAAAAGTTTTCAAGGAAAAAAACCAAGGAAGTCCAGTTGACTTTTGGAAAAACACCTTTGGATCTACTTCAGGCTGCTTTTTCCTGCTGTGCTAAAGCCATCTTTTAATTAATTAATTTTTATAATGCCCATCTCCTCTACAAGGTGACTCTGGGTGGCTATATAGCGTCCATTAACGTCAATTGTATTTAGAGCCACAGAATTTTCTTATCAGTATTGCCCATGCTGACAGGAGTAAAAAGCAACCAATTCTAACTAGAAGACTTTTTGTTTTGTAGAGCCAGTGACTTATAGCTGCTTTACAACAGTTATAGAAGATTAGCTCTCTCTTTTCTTTAAAGGCTAGTTATAAACCATGAATTCCAACCAAACAAATGTTTGCTGTTTTATTTTTTCTATCCACTTTTCCTCTTGTCTTGGGTTCTTTTAGACAAATGCTGAGATCAGTGTCATTTCCAAATTGAAACTAGAAGGATTTATTGTGGATTTTTTTTCAAGAGCAGAGAAGCTATAGATTTCATGGAATTATGCTTCCTAAAAATCTTTTGGAGTGCATTCTTACTCTCAATAATTTAAATCAGAGATGAGGAAACAATGGCCCTTTTATGACTTGGCTTCAGTTCCCAGAAGAGTTGAAGTCTACAAGTCATAAAGAGGCCATCTTCCCCACCTGTGCCTAAATAATGAAAATAGCCCACCTAAATCGAGAACTTTTCTTTGTATTCTGAGATGTTTATACATTCATGATCCTTATGGAATTCATTTCCATTCATACAGCTTTCATTTGAATTAAAGAAAAGTTTCTTTCTCAGTGAGACCCATAACATTTGACCACATTAGAAAGCATGCAGAATAATCCTCAGATTTGTTTATGGCAAGTTACCAGTTCAGAATTGCTTCATCTTCATAAAATGGCAACTACTGTTTCAGGCAACAAGAGTTAATCAGTACTGTACAGAAAACAACAAGCCTGGCCATACAACTAGCAAGTGTTTCCGCACCAGAGCTCCATTTTTTAATCCAGATAGCCGTTTCTGAAGTACATTGGAGCTGTATATGCATGCTGTTTTGTCCAGATACCTCTAGCATAGCTGAACTCAGTTGTACTACCAGTTGTGTATACTGAGTGATCCAAGCTGTGTGTGTGTGTCCTAAACTGTCACTGAATGCCTTTAAAAGGAAATATGAAACTTTAAGCTGGCCTGGCTCAACACAGAAGTTTCTGGGTTATCCCAGCTGTACTCTTCCGTGCAGCTGTTTCCCATCCAGCCCCTGTTACATATTCACTGATATTCACAGAGTAGGTGGTTTTTCCATTATCAGTTTTGTACAGAATATTTGTTCCCCTCCTCCCTCTAGATTCCAGAGAAATCTTGCTAAGAAATCCCTGCCCTCCCACCACCTAGTAAGCAGCAGAGGCTGTTGGAGTTTAGATTTTTGCATTCCTCTGTGAGGGAGTGAGCGAACGCTCAAACTCTGCCTGTGCTCACATGCTAAAGCTGTTGCCTCCTCTCCAACTATTTTAATCATTGTAGAAAAAAAGGGGTGGGTCGACAAGGCATTTGGCAAGAGCGTCCTTTCCTTCAGTTGAGGTGGAGTCAACCAATGGCCTCAGAGCCTGGAAAATTTTGCAGGACAGTTTCCCCTGACAGCTTTGCAAGGATTGTACCATTTCAATTGAAGCATAAATCCACACGCTCAGCTCTTGGCTTCTGTCTGCCCTCCCGGAACTGAGAGATCTCAGTTTCAGCCTTCACTTCTCTGTCTTGTCACTACAGGGTCAAGCTTCTCCAGATTTTCCTAGTCAGAACTCTTAAGTGACCATGGCAGACACCACCCTCCATATCGTCGAGCAGCCAACTGCATCTGAGGCTTCGGATGAGCCAGCTGCTGAAGAACCCATTAAATCTGACCAGATCAATGGTGTTATGGTGCTTACCCTTTTGGACAAGATTATTGGGGCTGTGGATCAGATTCAGCTGACCCAGACTCAATTGGAAGAGAGACAGCAAGAAATGGATGGTGTAGTGGCCAGCATCCAGGGGGAACTGGTTAAGCTCACCAAAGCCCACTCCACCACCAGCAATACAGTCAACAAGATGTTAGAGAAAGTCCGTAAGGTCAGTGTTAATGTGAAAACTGTCCGACAAAATCTGGAGAAACAAGCTGGACAAATCAAGAAGTTAGAATCCAATGAGACGGAATTGCTGAAGCGTAGGAACTTTAAAGTCATGATCTACCAGGTAAGATGCCATTTAATCTCATCTGTTTACTTTTTTATAGTTGGCCTTTAAAGGTGCCAAAACATTGCCTCTTTCTTTTCTTGCACCTTCAAACGTTATCCCATTTCTGAAAAATTGGAGAGAAAAAGGACTGAATGCTATATGTATTTCATTGCCCAAGATTTTGCTAAGATTCCAAAATTGCTCTGCATGTCCATTTAAACCATGAAGGAATTTGGTCAAAATCAGAGGGAGAGATTTAGTTGTTTTATAAGGGATCCAACTTGTCTCATTAAAAGTTACAGAAATAGAAATCTTTTTTCAAGTTTCTCAAATATTCATATTAACTTTATTTGGGAAAGAAATCTCTATGCCTTGCCACTTTGCAGAGAAGTTGTGTTGCAGCGAATACTGTATAAACTGTAATTTTTGAGGATGGTAATAAGCAAAAGGTTACGTTTCCTGATGTAATATTATTTTGTCCCTGTCTTCATGTCCTAGAATTCTTTGTCACTGGTGAAAAGCAGCTTTGTTCTGTATTGTAGCCCGCCCGCCCTCCACACACACACACTTCTCCCTCTTATTTCCTGGCCAGCCTTAAATTTGTTAATATCAAACAAACAAAAATATGTAGTTCCAAGACAGTCTTTCTTTTCTCTGGTGATCTAAGCTTTTATAGTGTGTATAAAGAAAAACAAGGCATCATAAACTAGATTAAGTCATACTATTGGGACAAACTTTTTTTAAAAATCAGCTGAGCTTCTTTTCTAGCTAAGGATGAAATGTGCAAAATATGGTTGCATTTTTACTACCACAACGTGCAAGGAGATCAGGTTATATCTGTTTGAGGAATCCTGCAAATAGCTGACTGATATAACCCACTGATTCATGTCTTGAGCATTCTCAATTATATCATGCCTCAAAGGCAGGAATACTCCAGATTATTTATATGAACACAATTCAACACAGTTAAAAACTATTCTTAATTGGAAGTCACTGAAATTGAGTTTCAGGGCTCACCGGATAAAAAAATAGAGAAAGTAAAAGGAAGAACGAATAAAAACATTTTAAAGTCAATCTATATCATCATTACTTTACAACTGCTAATGTTTGCCTCCCCTAAAATTATGACAAAAGTATCTTTGATTGCTATAGAACAGCCTGATTTTGAAAAAAAAAAAAGTCATACTGTGGAATATAACCTTTCCAGATTTTATAGATTTGTTTATTTGCTTGGGATATAGAATTTTGAAATAGGTACAGCATACTCATTATGTTAATGAATCTGATAGTGACTGTGCTAGAAGTTAGACTGCAAGTTCTTAAATCAAACCAAAGCACTCCCTAAGAGATGGCATTAAAGCAATTAACATTCAGCATTATATCTGAAATATGAAACTAATAGAAATAATAACCTGCAATATGGAGACATTCTTAGGTGGGTTATTTTAAAAATTCCCTATATAAATGCATATAAAGTATAATTTAATATCTAATCAAGAATTAAGAGTGTAGATTTTGTGTACTTATTTGTGCATAGGTTCCATTTGAAAGTGGAACACCATGAGTTGAAGTCCCGCCTTAGCCATGAAAGCCAGCTGGGTGAAATTGGGCCAATCAGTCTCAGCCCAACCCACCTCACAAGGTGGTTGTTGTGGAGAAAATAAAAAGAAGGTATGTTGGATATGTACACCACCTTGAGATATTTGTAAAAATAATAAAGGTGGGTTATAAATAAATAGAAAAATAAAAATAAAATGACCATTATTTTTCCCAATCCCATAAGCTTTATTTATTACAATGAAGACAATAGTGTTGTTATAAGAGTAAATGAGAATAGGATGATGACTTTTGTATGCTACAAAACACAGTGATTAAAATGTAATTATTTCAGAGTGAATATAGAGCTGGCAGGCTAAAGATAACTGCAGAATTAACTTTGCCACATAGATTCATCATAGCGCAAGAATCACAATTGACCATATGGGTGATGGGAAAAGCTGCTGAATGATATTTTCTAGAATTTTGCTTTTTTGCAACACAACTTTTCTCTCCATACAAAGAAGGAAGGATAGATTTGCTTTCAAAGAGGTTTTTTTTAAAAAAATATCAACCTCAGTCTCTGCTATTGCTTTGGATGCTTCTCGCCCTGCCTGACACAGTGTGTTTTGTTTCAGAATAGCTCTGGCAGTGATTGCTGTTTGGGCTGGGGATTAAGCCGTGCTGCTAACATACTAATGTTCTCTGAATTGTAGCTATAGGGCTAGTATCATTCTGAATACGTTCCCGACCAAACAAGTTTGCAACCTATAATATGATTTGAACATTTAAGAGGGTGTTAGTAATATAGTGTATTCATGGGGCAAAATTGAATTGCTGGCAAAGCAGAGTTGATGCCCTTGATCTTGGAAAAAATATACTGTTGAATACATCAGAGACAGCATTTTTGTTAGAAGTTATTAAAGCAGTTATTTCTATAGGTGTAATCCTCTGAATATCCTAGAATGTTCTGTTATTGCTTCAAGCAAATAAACAGGAGCTCAAGGGCTTAAATGGGACATGGTATTTTCAAAATAGAAGGCAACTCCTACTCCACCTCCACCGAGGTAGGAATACTAGGGGTTTTTATTTATTGTTTTCTCTTGCCATATATAGGATTGCAGTCATATATAGTTTATTTATTTAGGGCAAAAACCATCAAAATTTGCCTATACAGGTCATCCTAGTTCAGTGACCACAGTTGGGATCAGCAACTCAGTTTTCCTTCACTTTATGAACCTGCAGAGATCATAAATGTGAGCATTGGTTGCAATGTTACTTTTGCATCATTGTCATAACAGTGAAGATTACTGTACAAGGCAGGCACTAAACGAGGACTTCCTGTGCAACATTATTGGAAGCCAATCATAACAGTGGAGCTGCACATCTATTAAGCAATACTTAAATAGGGTGGCTTGATACAAAAACAGTTAACACAACTACACTTTTACTAGGTGTGCAGATGAATGAATTTGAGTCATTAATATATTTTACATATAATTTTAGTTTCCCCTCTCATGTTTTCTCTTCTTTACCCGTTTATACAATAATCAACTAGGTTTGCCACTCAGTAATGTTTTGAAAGGAGCTTTGTTCATTACGGCTTGCTGAAGAGCCATGATAAAAGTATTTGCTTTGCTAATAACAATTTGCCTAAGTTTCATGGTCTTGTTTTCAAGTGTGCATTGAAATATCCAAGAATGTGCAGAAAATTTAACATTTAATATATGAATCATTTCTTTGTGAAAATAGGGTGTGGCAGTTTTTCTGGAAACAATTTTATAACTGCATTCATCCAAATTATTCAACTAAGTTAATTATTAATCTGACATCTGCATTTGCACAACATACTAAATTTAAAATGCTTTCGGGTTTTGTGGCTTTACATAGAGCTACCAGACTGAGCTGCAAAAATCTGGACAGTCAATTGATGGCAGGAGAGAAAATTTTAGTCTTTTTATTGTCATCTAGTAATCATATTAATTTTATGCATCCCAGATTTCATAGCCTCACCTTAGCATTTGATGCAAATTTAGGCTGTCGGATTAATTCTAAATTAATCACATTGTGTAATTATATTTTATGAGTACCTCTATTATTACATCCTAAGAATAGTGCTTGCTTTCTTCTTTTGGTGGCTGAGAGCAGTTATGTGGTACTCCAAACTTTCCAAATACTTATAGCATTTTTCCAGATTAATTAATAACTTTTTGTTTGCCTAGTTCTGCGTAGCATTTTTGTTTCTCCTTAATTTTTATTCATCCTCGATTTGTGGGGGCAAATCTCTTAGCATTTTCAAAGCAGTGTTGGAACTCATTAATTTTGTTCACCATGGTCTTGTCAGATTTTAATTTTGCACATATATTTAGAAATATTTTACTAACACTATTTTGAAAAGTAGGCAAAAAAATGTCCTCTAAAGTAAAGATGAAATATAGATAGTAATGAAAAATAGTTGTTTCTGCAGGAATTTCCAGCGGGATCCATTCTCTTGATTATCAGAGTTGCTATTCTAATGCCACTTGTTCAAGCGTGCAAATATCAGCATCTAGCACATTTCTCTCTTCCAGGAAAACAAAAATGGTTAAATGCAAAAAACACTGGACTCTTCCGTGTTCCCTATTCCATGCTGTTCCATGAATCCACATACTGCTGCTATTGTACTATACTTTGAATTCTCAGTTCTCCATATCTGCCAATATTTTTACCCATCTAGTCATGAGAAGCCAATATTAATTTTCTTATAGATATGAAAAGCAAAAGTAAAAGAAAATCCATAAGAACCCAGTGCTGTCTTGAATCCAGCCAAATCCAGTGCCCAAAGGAAGCACTCAGTACAGAATTATTACCTCCTTGCCCCCTCTTGGATTTACCAAATACTGATACTCAAAGCCAGTGTTGTAGACTTAGCCATTTTGATTAAGCCCAAACCACAAGAAGTTCTATTAGTATGCAAGTGCACAGTCATAAATACTAGCATGAATTTACTATAGCATAGCAGCCTCTTTATAAGAACAGTTGATTTTCCTTGAATGCTGCAGGCAGATTTTGACAAATAACATTTTGCCCTTCAGCATTAAAAAAAAACCCAATTAAAATACACAAATCCCTATAAGGCCATGGTTGTATCTTCCCTTGGGAGGCAGCTGTGGGATTGTTCTCTTCTGTCTATTTTCAGTATCATTCATGGCATTGATGTTGAAGTTTCCCAAGAGATGCTTAGAAAATTTAGTTCAGTGCAGCATCTCACAAAAATCATTGGCTTCGTGCAAAATATTTTCAAGGTTAGCTTCTTCCCCTAGCTCTTAAAAATGCATAATGCATTCTCTGTAGTGTCTAATTTAGAGTAAAGCACACTGGTGGTTTATTAATAAATTGCTACTTCTCTTGCTATTGTTTTAAAGCAACCGTGACTGGAAAAACAGCCTTGTTGGAATGTAGTTTTCATTGTTGCAGTAGACTGAGCTCTCCAGTGATTAATT